TTTTTTTTTTTTAAGATGGATTCTCGCTCTGTTGCCCAGGCTGGAATGCAATGACATGATCTCAGCTCACTACAATCTCTGCTTCCCAAGTTCTCATGCCTAAGCCTTCTGAGTAGCTGGGCCACAGGTGTGTGCCACCACACCCAGCTAATTTTTGTATTTTTAGTAGAGATGGGGTTTCGCCATGTTGCCCAGGCTGGTCTTGAACTCCTGGCCTCATGTGATTCACCTGCCTCAGCCTCCCAAAGTGCTGGGATTACAGGCGTGAGCCACCACTCCCAGCTATCAGTTTTGTTTTTGGAGATGGAGTCTCACTCTGTTGCCCAGGCTGAAGTGCAGTGGTGCAATCTCGGCTCACTGCAACCTCCGCCTCCCAGGCTCAAGCAATTCTTCTGCCTCAGCTTCCTGAGTAGCTGGGATTACTGGTGCACAACACCACGCCTGGCTAATTTTTGTATTTTAGTAGAGACAGGGTTTCACCATGTTAGCCAGGCTGGTCTTGAACTCCCGACCTCAAGAAATCCGCCTGCCTCGGTCTCCCAAAGTGCTGGGATTACAGGCATGAGCCACTGTGCCTGGCCAGTATGTGTATATATATATATATACACACACACACATATATATATATAAAATTCACTATGCTATGTATTTCATCTTTTAATCATTTTCAGTACTGGAAGATAAATTATACATACTCTTAGCCGGTAACTGGCCAGGGACGGTGGCTTATGCCTGTAATCCCACCAGTTTGGGAGGCCGAGGCGGGAGGATCACTTAAGCCTAGGAGTTCAGGACCAGCCTAGGCAACATAGTGAGACCCTGCCTCTATAAAACATTTTTTAAAAAATTAGCCAAGCTGGGCCAGGCGTGGTGGCTCATGCCTGTAATGCCAGCACTTTGGGAGGCCAAGGCTGGCAGACAACTTGAGGTTAGGAGTTTGAGACCAGCCTGGCCAACGTGGCAAAACTCCATCTCTACAAAAGATACAAAAATTAGTTGGGTGTAGTTGTAGGCACCTGTAGTCCCAGCTACTTGGGAGGCTGAGGCAGGACAATCGCTTAGACTGGGGAGGCAGAGGTTGCAGTGAGCCAAGATAGCACCACTACCCTCCAGCCTGGGCGACAGAGCAAGACTCCATCTCAGGAAAAAAAAAAAAAAAAAAAATTAGCCAAGTGCATAGTTCCAGCTACTAGGGAGGCTGAGGTGTGAGGATTGCTTGAGTCTCCGAGGTCAAGGCTGCAGTGAGCCATGATTGCACCACTAAACTCCAGCAGCCTGGGCAACAGAGCAAGATCCTATCTCAAAAAAAAAAAAAAAAAAAAAAAAGACTAGATAGTTCTAATTCATTTTATGCATTTTTTGGCAAATTTGATCCCACAAAGGTACATTATCACAACACTGACTATGTGTGTAGGCATTATGCGTGTACGTAAAAACACTGAAACTTTCTGAATAAAGAGATGTTCTTTTTATACATCTCCATTTATGAGAGGTAAAATTTTTTGAGATCTTGGCTCTTCGGATAACTGCATATGTGGTGGTGACTCATGGAGGTTTTGATGGATCTCATCAAAAGATTCTAACTTTTGGGCTCAAGCAATCCTCCTACCTCAGCCTCCCAAGTAGCTGGGACCATAGGTGTGTGCCACCATGCCCAGCTAATTTTTTAAATTTTTAGTAGCCGGGTGTGGTGGCTCATGCCTGTAATCCCAGCACTTTGGGAGGCTCAGGCAAGCGGATCACCTGAGGTTGGGAGTTCGAGACCAGCCTGACCAACATGAAGAAACCCCATCTTTACTAAAAATACAAAAATTAGCCGGGTGTAGTGGCACACACCTGTAATCCCAACTACTCAGAAGGCTGAGGCAGGAGAATCACTTGAACCCAGGAAGTGGGGGTTGCAGTGAGGTGAGATCATGCCACTGCACTCCAGCCTGGGTGACAAAGCGAGACTCTGTCTCAAAAAAAAAAAATTACCTCAGGTGGTATGCACCTGTAGTCCCAGCTACTCCAGAGGCTGAGGCAGGAGAATCGCGTGAATCCGGGAAGCGGAGGTTGCAGTGAGCTGAGATCACGCCATTGCACTCCAGCCCGGGTGACAGTAGGAGACTCCGTTAAAAAAAAAAAACTTGCTGGGCGCGGTGGCTCAAGCCTGTCATCCCAGCACTTTGGGAGGCCGAGATGGGCGGATCATAAAGTCAGGAGATCGAGACCATCCTGGCTAACACGTTGAAACCCCGTCTCTACTAAAAAAAAAAATACAAAAAACTAGCCGGGCGAGGTGGCGGGCGCCTGTAGTCCCAGCTACTCCGGAGGCTGAGGCAGGAGAATGGTGTAAGCTTGGGAGGCGGAGCTTGCAGTGAGCTGAGATCTGGCCACTGCACTCCAGCCTGGTCGACAGAGCCAGACTCTGTCAAAAAAAAAAAAAAACAAAACAAAACTTAAGCCAGGCACAGTGGCTCATGCCCATAATCCCAGCACTGTGGGAGGCCAAGGCCAGCGGATCACAAGGTCAGGAGATCGAGACCATCCTGGCTAACACGGTGAAATCCCATCTCTACTAACTACAAAAAATTAGCCAGGCGTGGTGGCGGGCGCCTGTAGTCCCAGCTACTCAGGAGGCTGAGGCAGAAGAATGGCGTGAACCCGGGAGGCGGAGCTTGCAGTGAGCTGAGATCGCACCACCACACTCCAGCTTGGGCAACTGAGCAAGACGCCGTCTCAAAAAAAAAAAAAAAAAAAAGGCAGGCTGGGCGCGGTGGCTCATGCCTGTAATCCCAGCACTTTGGGAGGCCAAGGCAGGTGGATCACCTGAGGTCAGCAGTTCAAGACCAGCCTGACCAACATGGTGAAACCCTGCCTCTACTAAAAATACAAAATTAACTGGACATGGTGGCGCATGCCTGTAATCTTAGCTAATCCGGAGGCTGAGGCAGGAGAATCACTTGAACCAGGGTGGCGGAGGTTGTAGTGAGCTGAGATCCTGCCACTGCACTCTAGCCTGGGCAACAAGTGAAACTCTGTCTTAAAAAAAAAAAAAAAGCAGAAACAACGATCCTGCCTCAGCCTCCTCAGAGGTATTTAGATGACCTTGGGTAAACCACTTACCCTCTCTGTGCCTCAATTTCCCCATCTGTGAAATGGGGGATAATGTCTCTGTGATATCTTCTTCACTCTGTAAAGCTTTATGCCATGTAATGACAGGAGATCAGTGTAGGGCACAGAGAAGTGCTCAACAAATGTCACCTGTTGTTACTGTCTGTCCTGCCACCCCCTCCCCACCTCACCAGGCATCCCCAGCCCCGTCCAGAGGTGCAAGTCCTCAGCAGAGCTGAACCTCACCTTTCTCTTCATCTTTTCCTTCTTGGGGGGCAGGAGTGGGGGCTTGTCGAGCTCCCGGGAGGGTGGGTTCCAGAGTGAGGGTTCTGAGAGGGGTTAGGGGAAAATCAGCCCCCAAGACCCCCCACTCCTCCCACCCTCCACCCTAGCCTGTCCCTTTACCTGAATGGGCGGAGAGATGGGGGCTGCTGGTGGACGGGGGAGGCCCAGGACGGGGGTTGTGTGGTGGGGGCCCACTGGCACACCGGACCAGCACCCCTGGGCTCAGCTGCCCATCATCCCCCATACCCCCAGGACCCTCGTCTGATGGAGAACGGAACTTGGGCTTTGGAGACAGGAACAGAGTGTGGGGAAATACATCAGATGATCTCAGAGAGGGCACCCTTTTGCAACTCCAGTCCCTGCCTCCACCAGAACTAACAGCCATGGCTCTGACCCTCCCCCACAACATCTTGCGCCCCCTCCAGCCTTCCCCGGACACCCCCAGCCTGGACATCAACACACTTCAGAAACTGATGGGTTAATGTTGGATACAGCAGGGGCTTCCTAGGACCAGCTACTGACCAGTGTCCAAGAGGCTGAATATTTTGAATCCCCCCCTGAGGTTGAGGGATACCACTTCCAGATCCCAATGTAGCCACCATCCTGGTCTCCCCAATTCCCTGCCCTGGAGATCCCAGTATCCCAGCATCTAAGGACCTGGCCTCCTGGCACGCAGTGGCCCTGGGGCCCCATCCTCCCAGCTCTGGCCCAGGGCCTTACCTTGGGGGGAAGTGGAGGAGGTGTGTCCTCTGCAGGGGTGGGGCTGAAACACAAAGATGGGCTAAATAGTTGGGGGCCTGGGGAACAAGGACCCAGGGAAGACGGCATGGTTCTGGGCTGGAGGCCTGGGACTGGGGTCTGAGGTCAGGAGGATTAAGGGATGACTGGTTCTGGCTGGAGCTGAGGATTAAAGGATTAATAACCAGGCCGGACATGGTAGCTCATGCCTATAATCGCAGTGCTTTGGGAGGCCAGGGCAGGAGGATGGCTTGAGCCCAGGAGCTCGAGACCAGCCTGGGCAGCATAGTAAGACTTTGTCTCTACAAAAAAATTAAAAATTAGCCAGGCGTGGTAGGTACACCTGTGAACCCAGCTACTCAGGAGGCTGAGGCAGGAGAATCGCTTGAACCCGGGGTGCCGAGGTTGCAGTGAGCTGAGACTGCGTCACTGCACTCTAGCCTGGGCCACAGAGTGAGACTCTGTCTCAAAAAAAAAAAAAAGGTGGAAAGAAAGTGGGAGCTGGAGCTGGAGCTGGGATCAGGTTGGGGGTCAGGGGTTGGAGGTGAAGGGTTAAGGGAGGTGGTTAGGGAATAGGGTCTAGGTAGCTGGGCAGAGGGGCTGCATCAAGGGTCTAGTCAGGGCTCAGGGCTCGGGGCTAGAAGACAGGCAGGGGTGCAGCGGGGTCAGGAGTGGAGGAAAGGTCACATCAGGGGCTTGTAGGAAGGTGGAGGCTGAGGTGGGGCCTGTGGAGCTGCAGGCAGGGCCTCACTTACATGTCCACGTCGTCATAGTCATCGTCGGAAGACTCTGACTGTTGCTCCCTGAAGGGTGATGGGTATGAGTCTTGGGGGCCTTGCCCACATTCCAGCCCCCTCCCCATCCTCCCTGGGGTCCCTGACCTGGGGCTGCTGCTCCTGAGGTCTCGGGGGGGTTGTAGGCGAGCCTGTGGGGTAGGAAAAGGGTCAGCAGTGGCCTCAGGGAAGCAGGTGGTGTGGTGGGGAGTTCGGGGGCAGCATCTCACGGTGTTGGCTGGGGGTCTGGTCTCCATTCCTCGGAGCTTCCTGAACTCCATGTGCCGCCCTAGGATGTGTGGGGGAAGATAACCCACTGTGAGATGGGGGCAAGGGGTAGTGAGATGGGCTTAAGAACAGAAAGAGTAGAATTGGCAGGGGGGTTGCAGTCAGGATCTTAGGGACTGCAAAGGATCTCAGGGAACTGTCCCTTAGGGAAAGGGGTCTTGGTTTACAGGGACCTCATTTGGGGGTCAAGTTTGGGATCAAGACCGGGTACAGTGGCTCATGCCTATAATCCCAGTACTTCAGAAGGTGAGGTGGGTAGATCGCTGGAACCCAGAGTTTGAGACCTGCCTGGACAACTTGGCGAGAACCCATCTCTACAAAAAATGATTAAAAATTAGCCAAGTGGCTGGGCATGGTGGCTCACGCCTGTAATCCCAGCACTTTGGGAGGCCAAGGCAGG